AAAAAAAAAAAAAAAAAAAAAAAAGAAAGAAAGAAAGGAAAAGAAAAAGAAAGAAAGAAGATAGTAACTACTTATTAACTGCTCATATGACAAGAAATTGCATAATTATCTCATTTCAGCTACTCAGGTGTTTGAGGTCAAGGGTCTTATCTCCATTTTAAGGATAAGGATTCTGCCCCTCAAAGAAGCCTTGTTTTCTAGAAAACCAAAACTGGATAGGACCTAGGTCTGACAACTTTGAAGACCCTGGTACTCCCCAGCCCTACCCACTCTCTAGGAAGCATAGCCTTCTTGCCCCTGGGTACTTCTCAGATGCGCCCCTAGAATTCCCAGGGCCAACCTGCATTGTAACTACCTGGCAATCTCACCTCCCCTCACACTGTTTCCTGGGCTAGTGTCCAGCTGAGAAGGGGCTGTCTGCCTGAGGATTGTCCTGAGAAAGGAATGGGGCAGTGGCTCTGACAACCTGGTATTTGTTGGCATCTAAAAATAATGTCCCCTGGATTCTCATGCCGCCATCACCCTTTTCTCGTTTCTCTCAGAAAGTCCTGCCTAGGAGCTGGATGTGGTGGCACGTGCCTGAAATTCCAGCACTCAGGAGGCCGAGACAGAAGCATTACTGGGAGTTCTATGATAGAACAGGTTACGCAGAACAATAGGCCAGTTAGGGCTACATAAGACTCTTTCTCAAATAACACCAAACAAACAAACATTAATTCCAGCCCCAAAGACAAAGACCAAGCACGAGAAAAAAAAAAAAAAAAAGAAAAACAATTTCCTGCTTATGAAACACACACTCACACACACACACACACACACACACACACTCACACACAGGCGGGGGGCAGGGGAGAACACGTATTAATGTTAACAGGTATTTAATGCTTATTTCAGGCTAGTGGTTTTAAATCTGTGCAAGAAGATGCTGGAAGGAAACAGGGCAAAGTGTTAACTGAAATTCTCTGGGCATAAATGATTTGTTCTTTGTTTGTCTGTTTGCCTATATTTTCTACGTTACCAGAATGCTACTTCCGCAACTTGAAAAGGTCACTCCAACGTGCAGCTAATCATTTGTTTGGATCAGTGAATGATCCCCTGGTTCTTGTCTCTAGTTCTGGACTGTACAGACTGGGTCTGGCCCCCTGCCTGGGACTTGGTGAATGTCTGTTACATGATTAATGGACATGGTGATTGACCCTTGACCTTGGGAGACTGTAAACATTACTTCCCTGAGTCTCTGAGAAATAAGACTCCAGTCTTTCCTTGTTCATGGTCAGCTTCAGAGGAGAATGGGAACTCATGGGGCATATGAGGACAGCTGGAAAGTGATGATGAGTTCACTGTGTGACCTTCATTACGAATCCGGAGAGTTCATGAAACTAATAAAATAGCCATCCCCTCCCCCGGGGTGTAGGCCACCGGAAGTCAGTGTCGGACAGCTCAGTCCATTCCTTTTTGTTTTTTTCAAACTGAATTCTCACTTTGTAGCCCTTGTTGGCCTGGAATTCCTTATGTAGACCAAGCTAGTCTCAAACTCACAGATATCCACCTGCCTCTGCCTTCCGAGTACTAGGATTAAAGGCGTGCACCACTATACCTGACTTTCAACCTGTTTTTTGGGGGGACAGATTCTCTCACAGGAACCAGAAGCTCACAATTCAGCTAGGCTGGCCAGTCAACAAACCACAGGGATCCTCCAGTCCCTGCCTCCCCAGCACTAAGTAGGTTTTAGGAGATCCAAACTTAGGCCCTCAAATTTTTGTGGTGAACACTTCACCTACTGAGTCATCATTATTACATGTCCAGATGGATTTTTTTTTTTTATCTAATCACCAAGTCCCCAGTCCTAAACGTGACTCTCAGTAGCCCCAGGGCATCCAGTTCTTGGACCACAAAGTCTTTCCCACCCATTTCTCCATCTTCCCAACTCACATTGCCCAGTGCGTTCTGGACTGTGGGGAGGCAGGACAGGTCAAGGACTGAGCCCACAAATTCTAGCCACAGCTGGCCAATGACAGAATTCAAAATTGTAGCCACCAACCACATGTGGGTACTGAGCCTTTGAGGTATAGTTGGTATAACAAAGGTCTCAATATTTCATTTTATTTAATTTCACTTCATTTAAACTTAAATAGCCATATGTGGCCAGTGGCTACCATATTGAGCAGCACGGATCTAGAATTTAGAGTCATATTGCCTATATTAATAGCCATTAACTGCATGACCCCTGGCAAATTGTTAAACACTTTTGACCCTCGGCCTTTTTTCCCTTTGTGAAACAGGGATAATGAATAGCCCCTTTCTCTTCATATTTTCTCCAGAGAAACTTACAATAGGTGACTTGCCTTTAAAAGGCTCTCTCGGTGCTAGTTATGGCTTTTCGTTCCAGAAAGGGCAAAACCTGCCGTGCCTTGCAGCCAGACAGAACATGTGGGAAATAAATTAACTCCAGAAACAGAAGATGGGATGGTCAGGGGTAGGGTGTGTTACTTAAAGGAGGTAGACGAGTTCCCACAGAAGGCACTTGGCTGGCGGAGTCTCGCATTGAAACTCGTATTATGTTTATAGTTAAAGCTAATTGCTTTGCTTTCCTTCCCTTCTTCCTCCTTTTCCCCTCCTCCTCCTCTTCTTTGTTCATTGTTTTTATAGGCTCTTATGTAGCCCAGACTAGTCCAGAATTCATCAAGGATGACCTTGAGTTTCTGACCCTCTGGCCTCCACTTCCTGAGTACTGGAATTAAAAGTCTGTACCAACAGGCCCATTTAATGCACTGCTTGGGAAAGAACCCAGGAGCAGGCAAATACTCTATCAACTGAGCTACATTCCAACCCAAAACCAATATTTTTTTTTTGAAAAAACAAAGAATCTCTTAATCTTCAATTAGCACATAAAGGAGTTGTCTCTTTTCTGGGGTGAAAGGTTATTTAAATATGTCAAATGCAATGGTGCCGTTGAGTTTATACTGTGCACGCAGGTTTGGACTCCCAGCCAGGATGGAGGAGACTCTGCGCAGGCCAGCTTACTTCCTGAGCCTGGGTTCACCTGTACATTTGGCCTTATCTACTCCAGAGGATGACTTGTTGGCTTTCCTGGTGCCCGACACACAGACCAAGAACGAGGAAGTTGTTTACTCAGCACTGATCTTGCGTTATTCTCTTTCTTTTCTTTTTTTAAGATTTATTTGTTCTATGTTATGTATATGAGTGTTTTGCCTGCCTATCTGTCTGTGTATGTGTGTACTCATTGCCTGTGAAGTTCAGAAGAGGGAGTTGGATTCCCTGAAACTAGAGTTACAGACAGTTGTGAGCTGCCATGTGGGTGCTAGGAAATGAACCCAGGTCCTCTGGAAGAGCAGTCAGAGCTCTTAACCACTGAGTCATCTCTCTAGCCCTGTTTGTTATTCTTAATGATGATTTATAAAAAAAAAAAAAGTAGACCTTGGGGTCTGGAGAGGTGGCTCAGTGGTTAAAAGCACTGGCTGCTCTTCCAGAGGACCCAGTTTCAATTCCCAGCACCCACAGGGCAGCTCAGCACTGTCTGTAAATCCAGTCATAGGGGATTCAACACCCTTCCACAGACAAAAGTACAAGTAAAACACCAATGCACATATAATAATTAAAAAAAATAAACAATAAAAAGTAGAACCTGGTCAATTAAATGGGAAAGGAAAGCTGGGCATGGTGACTCATGCCTACAATCCCAGCATTTGGGAAGCTGAGGAGGAGAATTCCAAGGTCAGCCTCAGCTACATATTGACAGAGTCAAACCCTGTCATAAACAACTAAACCCACCACCAGAACTAAATAAACAAACAGATAGATAACCACTTTCCGAGACTGCAGGGAAAATAAAATCCTGGGCATACTCCTCTGCACAGTGGATTGGACAACTCTGGAGCCTGGGTGTACAGGTGGATGCTGGGCACAGAGACAGCACAGGGGTGACCTCAGGGCATCCCTACCTGTATGGGGGTCCAACAGGCTCGATAGCTCTTCTTCCAGAAGTCGCTTCACAGAAAGGTTCTCCTCCTCGGGGCCTAGGGGACCCTCTTCCAGGTCGGGCTCCGCTTGGCCACCAGGCCTGACACCTGGACCATCTGAGCCATCTGTGTCTGGGATGGGAGCCCTGTGAAGAGGCCAACCAGGTTTCAAGTGAGGAATTTTCACATAACTGTCTGTTCACGGCATCTGTATCGTTTGCCATCTACACAGGGGACTGATGCATAGCCAGCCTTCCTGCTGACTGCTCCTCTCCTGTGAAATGGGAGTGATACGTGTAACCCTCATGGGGTTTGTAAATGAGACTTCGTAGGTAAAAGGTTTAGCACAGAGCCCTGCCACGGTCTAAACAGTAGGCACACAGGGGAGAAATGGAGCCATTGGTAGTGTTGCCCTCCATGGTCCCCCTTCACACCTCCAGTGAGTATGGCACTTAGTAAACTTCAGTTGACGTGGTCATCTACCCAGTACCAGTCAAGCAGGGTGGGGTTTGCCTTCCTCACGCCTTGTTCTCTTGTCAAATGCTCAGAACATGGCCTAGCACACACTGGGCGTTTGACGAACACTGTGGAATCAGTGACTGTGGTTTCCTTCTTACTGAAGCCACCTCCTAGAGCAAAGGAACAGGTCTGTGGGGGACGCATCTGGATGAGGTACCCTTTACCCACATCTGCACCTGCACCCCAGCTTCCTGGTTTAAGCTGAGGACCTTGTGTCTCACTGACCCTCAAGGCCTCTGACAGTCCCTCAGGACGAAGCCCATCCCTACAGGTAGAAAGTCTCCCTGACGGGTTCGAAGACCCATGATTCCTATGTGATTTTTATTGCTCTCATTCCCCACGATAACCATTCCTACTGCTATTAAGAGATCAGCTAGGAGGTAGAAAACTGGGGGTAACGGGGACAACTCCCCTAAGTCAGGCCTCGTGCTTTGCAAAGTACAGGCACTCACTCATTGGAGCCTGTCCACGAGAGTCCTTCCCATTCTGCCACCCATATTTTTGCAGTAGCTTGCCTAAGGACCCCATGGGCTAAGTAATTAAGCAAGAATTCCCATCGAGACACATGACTCTGGAATGTGAGCACTCTTAGGGCTCAGGAAATCATGTCCAAATGTGAAAGTCTTTAGAACTGTGCCTCTGACCTCCTGCCCCTGAGCTCCCTCCCCCAGGCGAACGGAGAGCCATCTAGAATTCCTTTCCCAAAGAAGGTCGTAGAAACTAGAACTTTCCCCAAAGCCAACCATAAAAACCTAAAAACACATTTGAATTCCCCCCTTACTTTCTGTGTAAGAGCTGGCAATAAGGAAATACTCTAGCTTGCCTAGCTTGATGGCAGGTTGTGAGTCCCTTGTTCCAGAAAAGCTCCTAGCCCATACCTGGAAGCAAGGAATGCTGGGTAGAGCAGCCAAGAAAGCCATACAGATAGGCCTCTCTGAGTCTAAATTTCAATTTGCTCATACCATTTTTATCCAGGTATACTTTCACAGGTATCCCGGAAACACTAAACCCAATCTTAAAAATGTGTCTTTGGATCTTCAATCTAAAGGCTTCTTCTGTACCACATGAAACAATGATTTAAAAAATTGTAATGGGGTCTGTGAGACAGACACCTCAGTGACTAAGGGCGTTTGCCACCAAACCCTCATGCCCTGAGTTCAATCCCTGTGTGATGGAAAAGAGAGAACAGACACCCTTTGCTGTCGTCCTCTGCCCTTGCACACACACACACACACACACATACACACACACATCCCCTGACTCATATGCAAAATAAAGAAATGTAAAAGAATTTTTTACATTTACTATGGCTTTTCTCTTGTTCGTTGGTCTGTTGGCAGTTGATTCCCACAGACTTAAATGTTGAGCCTGCAGAAGGGAAAATCCGTTTCTCCATGCATAGCTATCCTCTGGAGGGCTCGTCAGCTCCAGGACTGCCTGCAGGAGCACACCCTCGCACTTACATCCTTATATAGCATGTTTGTAGGCCAAGAGAAGGAAAGGTGAAAGTTACAGATTTCAAACCAATCAAGTAAGCAGGGGAGACAGTCAGTGCTAAGAGATGAAGTAATTTCCTTAGCGACACGGGGACCTGTAAATATCATAAATACAGTGGCCCCAGGATAGAGCCTCCGGAGTAGGGGGATGGGTGCTGTCTGCTGCATGTATCCCCTGGGCTGGATTCAGAGGGTGCCCATCCTTCCACACTCACCTAGGCTGTTGGGGAGGGTGACCTAGGGGCCCGGAGGAGACTGTGCTGTGGGTGCTACCCGCTGCTTACCTGCTGCCGCCGGGCTTGGCTGAGTATTTATTTCCTCGGTGGTTTGGTTTGGGCTGGAATTGGCCCTGATGCAGCAAGGACAGCAGCTGGGAGATTTGCTACAAGACAGGAAAAATCTGTTGACTCCACACAATTCCGACCCAGCACGCTTCCTCGCCGGATGTTTCCCTCAAATGCTGCTGCTTTCTTTTTATAGTTTTTCCTCTGGCTTCAGATGCTTCTGCGATCAGATAGGGGGTTGGGGGAATGGACCTGTGTGACTGAGGCAGAGACCTGGGGGAGGGTGCTTCCCAGCTTTGCTATGTCCCTGCAGGCCCTGGGCAGCTGAAGGAGATTCTATGGAGACCCTTGGAACCATCCCCATTAGCTCGTTACCTGGAGTGACTGGTGGGCTTGGGGTGGAAATGGCATTTCCAGAGCGTACAGTAGTTACTTTGGTAAGGATTGTCTTCAAGAGTTATTTTTCCCTTTGCATAGTGTTCAAACATTCTGGCTTGAATTTGTGGAGATGTGGTGGTGGGGTATGCAAGGCTGCCTGTACAGGGCAGAAATAGTGTCATTTAACCAATTCACTTATTCACCCTGTCAATGGACATGGTTTTTTGTTGGTTGGTTGGTTGGTTGGTTGGTTGATTGGTTGGTTGGTTGGTTTTTCAAGACAGGGTTTCTCTGTGTAATGGCCCTAGCTGCCCTGTAACTGACTCTGTAGACCAAGCTGGCTAAGAACTCACAGAGATCCGTCTGCTTCTGCTTCCTGAGTGCTGGGATTAAGGCTTGTGCCACCACCACCTAGCAATGGACATGTGTTTAAAAGCATGTCTTTGTGCCAGGCTAGTGTTTCTGTGGGACTTGTGAGACTGAAATAGGGACCCCATGTGGTCTTTGGAAGCTCATGATTTATAGGAAAGGCAAGGAAGAAGGGGACAAAGACTTCACCAGAGTCACAATTATCCGTTTACTTTTTTGTCTTTTGAGACAGGATCTTACTATGCTGTGCAGGCTGCTCTGGAACTCCTGTCTTAGCCTCCCGAGGGGCTGGAACTCTAGGCATGTGCCACCAAACCTGGCTTTCAGGCAATTCAACAAATGTTTTCTTGAATTCTGACTGTGTGCCAGGAAGTCCTGCTGAGACCGAAGGCTCCACAGGAATTCCGCCAGAGACTGGAAGGTCTTGGCCGTTAAGAGAAGGCAGCTTCTGCTAAGAGTTCTCAAAGACTAGAAAAAATGGCAGGGCTTCAGGTAGATGGGAGAAGAGGGACTGATTAGAGGTTAGTCCTGCACCCCAAGGTCCTGGAGGGCAAGGAAGCAGACCTAGTCTTCGTAGACTTGGTTCTTCCTGGTCGCCAGCTTGTGACCTTTCAGGCAGATTTTGAGACTCACGGAGACCTCGGGTTTATCACCTTCTGTCTCTGAAGCGGCTTCGAATTCTCCGCAGCATTGTCAGGGTTAATTAGATATGTTGATACTAAGACTCAGGGGTGTTACCTCTAAAAATGCTGCTTCATCGTGGCCAGCACTAGGGTGGCATGGTGACTTGGGAGAGTCTGGGTCCCTGAACCTACTTCAGGCAGATTCTGCCTCCCTACCCGGCCCAAAAGCCCTGAGAAGACAGGCACCTGAAAACTTTTACCCAAGCGACACTAGGTAAGCACAACTTGAAGGCCAAGCCCAGTGTCACATCCTGGCATTCAGAGTCACTTCACAGTTGGAACCCAGACTCTGGGGTTGGATTCAGGCTCACACTAACTCTGTTCCTGCCTTACCTCCCATCTTCCTGACCCTAGAAAACCACTTCCGGGTCCTGAGTCTCAGTTTCCTCAGCAGTAGGGAAATAATAATAAGACCGAATCAAGTGATGGTGTGCCATTTAAATGAACTGAACTGTGTGAATCACTTGTTAATAGAGCCCCAGGTAGCATTTAATAATTACCTGGTGACAACTAATCTCATTTGTGCCACACAATAGCTGCAGGAAGGTCATACCAACCCATGCATTTTGTAGATCTGCAACCTGAGGGGCACAGACCTTGCAGCGACAAGGCCTGGAACTTGAACTCAGGTCTGTCTGACTTTGCTGTGTGGCTGAACTGTCAAAGAGACCTGGGTGTTGGGCATCTTACTCTTGACCCCCAGTTGATTTCAAAGGGATGCCTTTCTTTCCATCGCTCCAGTGTGCCATGCAGAGTGTCCGTCTGCTCTCTACTGTCATGCCCAGGGACATGGCATAAGAGTCCATCCTAAACCAGGCAGTGGTGGTGCATGCCTGTAATCCCAGCACTAAGGAGGCAGAAGCGGGTAAATCCCAGCACTAGTGAGTTCAAGGTCAGCCTGGTCTACAGGGCGAGTTCCAGAATAGGCTCCAAAGCTACAGAGAGAAACCCTGTCTCGAAAAACCAAAACGAAACGAAACAAAACAAAAAGAGTTCATCCTAATAGCCTCTGGTGGATGGGATGAATGAGTGAAAGAATGAAGTAGTTGACTGTCGTCCCCTCTGGGTTTGCAGGGAGCCCCCAAGGTGAGGTTTCTAAAACAAAAGCTACACTACCTCCAAATAGCTTCCTAGAACAGGGTTTGGAAAAGAACCTGTGTCCTTGCTCCATGAGGAACCTGAACTGACTGTCTGGTCCACAAAAATATGTCTCTGAGGCTCAGCCTTGCGCAGCGAAAGCTCTCTGGACATCAGAGAAGCAGTTAGGGATATGTTAAGCACCATCCTTGAGAAGACCTCCTTTTGTGGTTAGTAAACCACAAGGCATGAAACAGACAGCCCCTCATCATCCCATTAATCCTTCCCTCCAGGGCAGCAGAGACCAAGCAAGTTTGACTTCGGGATTCCCATTTTGTAGACGAAGGAAATGAGACTCCACAGTTAAAGGTCATTCCCTACACTCTCCAGTTCTAAACTGTTGTGTTTGAACTGGGATTTGCCTCACTAGACAGTTGTTTCCCCTGTCTCCCCAGCTGGTGCACTCTGGGGTCTCAGGCAAGTCCCCTGAGGGCCTGACTGTTTCAAGGCAGGTTGTCTAGACACGACAAGCAGGTTGAGAGCAGGCATGAGGAGGCGCTTTGTGGGGGGGATAGAACCATTTGCCGAGCAGACACTGCTGTCCAGGCAGACACTGCTGTCCAGGCATGGCTGCCAGGGATCGATTCATTTGGTTTTCCTGCAGTCTTGCGGGGAGCATGCTGCTAAAGTGGATACCTCTAACTATAAGCTGAGTAACTTCTCTATGAGCCACAGGTGGAAAGAGGTAGAGCCAGGATTTGAACCCAGGCAACCTTACTCCGAAGTTCTTATTTCTAATCACTACCTTTGCTATGTTTGCTGTGTGTCCACATGTGCCAGGCATGCATAAGTACTTTACAGGAATTGACTGATCTGATCCTCACAACTCTGTAGGGCACACACACTTCTCACTGACATTCCCAGTTCACCATCAAGGAAACTGAGGCTCAGAAACACGCCCAGGACCACACAGTTAAGATCCGTTGACCCTTAAGTTCTACATCACAATATGCTGGGTGAGTCTAAGGGTGAATATGGGAAACGAGGGTGTTTATTGCTCTTGGTGGTGTTCTGGGGTGGGGGCCAATGACCAGAAAAAGAGCCGCCCATGCCAGAGGTACCTGCACAGGAGGGGAATCCCCAGCGAGCTCCTCCACGGGGTTCCGTTCCGCGAAAGCAGCCACGGACAGCCGGACCAGGCTCCTCAGAATCTGGTGAGGACCAGGTTGTCCTTCAGGAGACACTTTGCCGTTGAGATTCCGCTGTCGTCTCAGGGTTGCAGAGGAGGCTGGCGGGCTCTGTGGGGCCTCCTTACTGCCCTGGTCTCCAGCCAGCCTCGCTATGGGGCTGCCAGGCAGCTGCAAAGGCCTTGAGTGTGGCTGGCCCAGGGCAGGTGGGGACTCAGGAAGGCTTAGGTTCTCTCGGGAGGCGTTCCTCTGCCTGGGGTGGTTGAAAAGAAAGTTGAAGGTGTCCTGCAGTACCTCCTGGCTCTCTGCCAGCGCTCCCTGGTTGCCTTGGTTACGCAGGGTCCTGTATAAGGTTGGTGTGAGGTGGAAGGGGGCCTGCAGGCAGGAGTCCCAGCCTGTCTCCACCAATGCCTCTTTACTGGTATCTTTATGAGATGATTTAACTTCATCAACCTCGTCCTCCTGGGCCCTGAGCATGGGCACCAGGTGAATATCTGCCTTCTGAATGTGTTTCTGGGGCCTCTTGGGCTGGTGGCGGTACGTGGACTCAGCTTCACGACAGTTGTAGGCCCTGTTATCCTTTTTCTCCGTCCGGCAGATGGACATGAACAGAGCCAAGATCAACCCAAAGATGGCCAGCAGCACAGCCAGGCAGATCATTGCCAGCGCTGGTGTGCTTAGGACCCCAGGTTCGTGAGCAGAGTCCCTTAGGTGGTCCACACTGGTGACAAACACAACCCTTAACAGAGCTTGAGTCTGCAAGGAAGGGCTGCCCTGGTCCTCTACTACTATCCCCAGGTCCCACTGACTCCCAATGAGGCTGCTGGCATTGATGACATTAATCAATAGCTGCCCCAAGGAGGGGCTGAGGACAAAAAGATGAGCATCATTCCCACTTCGAATACTGTAGAGGAGCTCCCCATTGGCCCCCGAGTCTGCATCTCTTGCCACAATCGTCACCAAAAGAAAAGACCGGGGGCTGTGGGTAGCCATTGGTGTACCACTCACTGCTGGCTCCAAGCCACTGGGATTCTCGATGGGCAACAGAAGGTGCCCCGTGGAGGCATTTACAAGCACTGAAAGGGTGGCTTTGCCTTCACTGAGCACAGGATGAATCACTTCTGGGGCATTATCATTGGCATCCAAGAGGCTAACCCACACAGCGATGCTGGATGCAAGCTGGGGTTGCCCCCTGTCCTCGGCTATCACCTGGAACTCAAAGCCCACCATCTGTTCATAGTCCAGTGACTTCTGAGCAGTGACGTCTCCTGTCTCAGAGTCAATAGCTACTAGGTGAGAGACGGGGGAGTCCTTGATACGGTATGACACTTTTCCATTAATGCCCAAGTCGGCATCGTGAGCTTTGACGGTGATGAGATGAAGAAAAGGTGGGTTGTTTTCCCAAGTGGAGACCTCATACCGGCTCTTCTCGAACACGGGGGCATTGTCGTTGACATCACCGACCTGAATCCGCAGCTCCATCTCAGCTGATAAGGGCTGGGGTCCTTGGTCTTGGGCGAACACGGTGAGAGTGTATGTGGACCACAGCTCTCTGTCCAGTGTGGTGTTGGTGAGCAGCATGTATGTGTTGCCGTTAGTTCTTTTCAGCCTGAAATGGCCCAGCTCTTGGTTCAGCCAACAGTGGACCAGACCATTGTTCCCTGAGTCCAAGTCTTTCGCACTGACAAGAGCAATGAAACTGTCCCTGGGAAGATCTTCTGACACCAGTGACGTCTGAGAGGCCCATGTGATGTGGATGCTCGGAGCATTGTCGTTGACATCCAGAACTTTGATAAGAACTTTGCAATGGCCTGGGATGGAATTGGGACCCAGGTCCCTTGCCTGGACATCCACCTCATAGGCAGGATTCCTCTCATAGTCTAGGCTTTGGCGCAGAATGATCTGGCCTGTCTTGGAATCTACACCAAAGGTGTTCATCACCTCTGGGGACACGTGCTTGCCAAAGAAGAATTCTACCTCCCCGTTGGGTCCTTGGTCTGGGTCTGTAGCAGTCAGGTTTATGAGAAGAGTGCCAGGGGCAGTGTCTTCTGGGATTTCTAGGGCCAGTGAACTCTCAGCAAACACGGGACTATTGTCATTGGAATCCAGGACATTGACCTTGACCATGCTGGTGCCTGTCTGAGGGGGATTCCCATTGTCAGAGGCAGTCAGCACCAGATCAAAAAATGAGTGGACTTCCCTGTCCAGCTCCTTCACCACCACAAGCTCTGCATGTTTGGTCTCATCGGGCCCCACGATCACATCCAGGGCAAAGTGTTCACTGGGAGACAGGGAGTAGGAATATAAGCTGTTGGGACCAGTGTCTTGGTCAAGAGCTCTGTCCAAGGGGATTCGTGTGTACAGAGAGGCACTCTCGGAGATTTCCAGCTCCTGTTCACCCTTGGGAAACTCTGGCTGGTGGTCGTTGATGTCCAGTACCTGAATCTCCACATGAATCAGAGCCGAAGCTCCTGTGGCAAGCACATCAAAGGACACCAGGCAGGGATCTTGCTGCTGGCATAGCTGCTCCCGATCCAGCCGCCTGGAAGTGCTGAGCAGGCCGTCCTCCGAGTTCATCTGAATAGGCAGTGCCTGAGGCAGCTGCAGGATCTGGAAGGCATCTCCTGCCTTCCCACGCCTCTCCTCCACTCCCGGTTCTTGGGACAGTTTCCCTATCACTGTGCCAGACGGCACTTCCTCTGTCACTTGGAATTTCACCGTGAGAGTGGCCACCTCCTGACAGTCCCCTGCAAGGAATAAGAAACTGCCTGGCCCCAGGAGCCCTAGCAGGAGTGACAGAAGTAGCAGCATGCTCACCGCAGGGAGGGCTGGACTCAACCGGCTGGAGGTCTTCAGAGGCAGAACACGGTCCTGGACAGCTCGATCAGCCTGGATCTCCTGCTTCAGATCTGCCGCTAAAACTTGGTCCCATAATTAGAAGATGCTGGAAGAAGCAGGATTCCCAAGCCAGGCCATCTTTGTGAAAAGGGACCCGAGAGGTCCCCAAACCTATGAGTTGCTACAGGAGATCCCTGCTCTCCAGCAGCGCCCGCTGGTTCACTCAGCAGTGATAGGCAGGAACCGGTCTGAGACTTGACCTAGTAAAGCGGGATGTAGGGATCTAACTTCCAAACAGTCACTGGGCTGGGGAAGCAGAGAAGCAGCTTTTTCCTATGGAAACCCCACCTACAGGAAAAGGGAGGGCTGTGACTTTCAATGGCAATTAGAGAAAGAGCGTTTCCTGTGAGGCTGAGGGGCCTGTCGCTGAAGAGGATGAGGCCAGGGCTCCTGGGACTGGCTGAGTGGGAAGGTGCTGTCCACCAGCAAGGCAGCCAATGAGGGACAGAGAGCCACTGTGTAGCCAGGCGAGCAAAGAACTCGACCTATGCTGATGTCCCTCTAGGGCACTTCAGGCTCCCCATCTCTCTTCTCATCTCCTTTTTTCCCCCTTTGCCTTCTTCCCCCATTCTTCTACCTTCTGCCTCCTTGGACTCTCCGCCTCAACTTTGCCCTCAGGCTGGTCTCTCTGAGAAGCAGCTATTATTAGTAGAAAAGTCGCAGGAGCTAAAGAGGCATGGGTTCAAATGCTGACCTTGCTGCTTCTCAGCTGGGTCTTCTAACTTAGCCTCCCTGAGCCCTTGTTCCTTCATCTTCACGGTGGGGTGTGGAGACAAATAATTGTCCTCCCTGCAGGAACCTGTGAGGCTTGAATGAGATGATGTGCAAAATCCCTTGGTCTAGTCCTGGTCCCAAATCACAAACAGCCATGTTGTTTGGGAAAGTATTGTAGTAGACCCAGCTCATTCCACCTGTGGCAGCAGCTCCCACATTGGTCGTGGCTCACACTGACCCCTGAGGGTGCCGGTGGCTCCACCAGAAGCTGTAATGAAGGAAGGACCTGTCTGATCTGACCACAAGGCTCCCCTCCCCC